AGTACAGAAAGGGCATCAATAGTATATACTTATTCCATGTACAGGAGTTCTGATAAACTTATTTTTTCAGGTTGTTAGTGGCGTAAATCGTCAACGGGCATCAAATCCCGCATATCCATACAGAAAGGGTCGGTTGGGATATGCACGATTAGAACAAAAAATAGTAAGTACATATAAATGCTTTAATATAATATATTTACAAAAAATAGTAAGTATATATAATAGGATACAATGCTTTATTATCCGTCTTAATGCGTAGTTGGAAGAGGAGAAGAGTGATGCGACATCTCTTCCGGACCATGTTGTATGAAAGGCTGCCCGTGTGGGACGGGATGGAGTCGTTCAGGAAGAAGTTCAACAAGTCTTTGAACAATGTGTAAGTACAACGTTATCTTTGTCAATAACTGATCAAAAGTGTGTAATATATTTATATATGTTTTTATCTATATTTCAGGAGACTCTGTCCCAGACCATAACTCCCGCCGAGGATAATGATTGCAGGAGCTTACTGAGTCGGGTGCTGAATATTCCTGAGTATTCTGGGCGTGTGAGGGGTAAGGGATTTGGTGTCACTCCATCCAAACTGTATAAGCAGCCAAAGAAAAAAAATCCAACCAATAAAGAAGTGATGGAGACTTTGGAGGAATTGAAAGCGCAAATCCGTGAATTACAGAAGGATAAGGAGAGATACATGGCGGAAAGACGCGCTCCAGAGGGTAGAGCTACTAGTGACAAAGATAGTACCGGTTGTCCACAGAAGCTTCCAGAGGTAATTGTATATATTAGATTGAAATTAATTTAGCACACTTTACTTAATTGACACATTAACTGATCATTATTTGTTTAGGGCATTTCACTTTGTCGGCTATATTTATCGTCACCTACTCATCGAATGGTTGGCAAGGGAAAGGTGCATAACTTTCTGGGAGACTTACTTCACCATAAACCGCTCCCTTCTGGATTTTTGAAAGTATCTATTGATATTGCATTAGAGGGGAGTGCGTTGTTGCCTATACCAAATGATATTTCAGGCGCAACAGTGGTGGGAGACGCAGTAGGATCGTATGTGGCATGGCCGGCAAATCTGATTTGCATAGATGATGAGGTAGGTTGAACCTTTTAATACTCAAATGTTTTATGATTCATACATGAAAGTTATTCTTACATCTACATTTTCTTATTTACATGATGATCTTAGACTCCTACAAAATCCAAATCAAAAGATGATAGAATTATTGTGCGGGATACCGATTCAGCTGCATCAAAGAAACAGGTACTACTACAGTTACATGACTATCTTGTTATACAATATTAATTACTGAACTTATATATGACTTTTAGGTTCATGATCAGCAGTCGCAACAAGTCAGCAAGAGTAAGATGCCTGAAACTTCCAAGATTCCCAGAAAAGCAATTGTTCCTCGATTTAGGATGTGCCTTGAAACATATGTTGGAACATCAGATGTGCCTGAGGGTGGCGTCCGTCAAATACATATGGAGGCAGGTATTTTCGGTTTTGAATATCCCGAAACAATTGCTAAGGAGGATTTTGATCAGGTTTTCAACCATTCTGAACTGGGCGTCGGTGTTATGCATTCATACATCAGGTACTTCGATCCATTTTTATTAAATAATTGAACATTTTAAAATTTGCTCGTTTAACTTAATATTCTAATGTTGATTATGTTTTTTTAGGTTCTTGTATGACAACTTATTGGTCCCGAATGAATTGACTTCAGTATTCGCATTCTTATCTGCTAGCTGTGTCAACTCACGTATAATAGACCAGTCACCAGATACAGTCAAAGAGTACACAGTGCAGAGATTTATGCACGCGACTACGGAGAAGTTGTTCTTGTTGCCATATAACACTGGCCGTGGGTTAGATTTTATTCTAAATTCATTTATTATAATTGTTCGATTTTTCCCTTTCTATATATATAACATTTCCGTCTAAACTGTTGTCTTATTTTATAGTGGACATTGGTTGTTGATCGCAATTAATCCGACGAAAGAAATAGTGTATTATATAGATTCATTGGATGGCGATACAACAAAATATGAAAATCTGAGGAACTTTGTTGATACGTAAGTGATGACATATACTGTTGTCTTTAATTATATATCTTTATTTATTATGTGACATTGTTCTAAATATGCGTTTATATTATGTTAGAGTTATACAAATATTCAGAGCACAAAGAGATGCAACGGTGCCAAAAAGGAAGGCTAACAACATCAACTGGATCAGAGTAGAGATATATTCTCGCATGTTTCTACTTGATAAAACTATTTCAACTATATATTCGGATAAATGTTCGTTTGTTTTTTCCATTTACAGTGTCCTCGGCAGCGCAATGGTATTGACTGTGGATATTTTGTATTGCGCTTTATGAGGGAAATTATTCTTTCTAGTCAACTTGAGATTCCAGTCCTGGTATGGATCAATTCATTATATAAGTTATATGATTCATTTTGATAATTATCCGATACTTCATCTGAGTAATTAGTTTTAAACTTAAATCTTATTCGATCTGTTATATTATGTAGTATTATGATGAATTCAAGTGCGCTACTTACACGAAAGCAAAATTGGAAGAAATTAAAGAGGAATGATGTCAATTTATTCTTGGGTTGAGAATTGTATAGAGTTATCGGATTGGAAGACTTGTAATTATATGTGAATTGAATGTATTTGTGTTGCTGTAATTCTGAGGATCGAATTTTGTTGTAACATATTTAAACAGGTTTATGTGTATATTAAAATGTTTATGAACAAAGTCATGAGTTACATCCAAAGTTTTGAATTGTACATATAAGGCCAAAGTTTGAATCGTATATTTAAGGCCAAAGTTTGAATTTTATTTATAAGGCCAAAGTGCTGAAATAAAGGCCTTAATTATAAGCAGGTTTGTGTAATATAAGCAGGTTGTTGGTAAAATTACAAAACAGGGTGAATATTTTATAAATTTTTTTTTTAAAAATCTAGGACATTAGACAGCGCTTTTACATAAAGGCGCTGCTAAAGGTCACAAATATTACGCTACAAAAGCGCTGTTATTGGTTTGGAAGGGGGGTCTAAGGCAGCGCTTGTAAAAAGCGTTGCTAAAGGGTGGGCTATGGCAGCGCTTTTGCAAAAGCGCTGCTAAAGGGAGGGTCTAAGACATCGCTTTTTTAAAGCGCTGCTAAGGGGGGGGGGGGGGGGGGGTTGGGGGAATTATGCAGCGCTTACAAAAGCGCTGCTAAAGGGCTAAAAAAGCGCTGCTAAAGGTGCTGCTGAAGGGAGCTTTTAGCAGCGCTTTTTCATTGAAAAAAAGCATTGTCTTTACCTTTAGCAGCGCCACTTTTTGCAGCGCTTTAAAGCGCTGCTAAAGGCCAAAAAAAGCGCTGCTAAAGGTCTTTTTTGGCATAGTGTGTCTTGTCTAGGTGTCGTCACATAGTGGAGATTGTGCGCGTAGACATTGAGAAGGTATCTTCTCTGGCGTGTCTGGTGTCAGGCGAGTCCTAAATACATTATGGCGGAGGCACAAGGGACATTGTTGTACCAGAAACATCGTCGGAGGACGAGGGGATTGGTGACCGAGGAGGTAGAGCAGACAGAAGAGGTAGAGGAGATGTTGTCAAAAACACACAGTAGTAGTCTTTTATTATTTTGTTGTAGTACTACACTCTGTACTTTATTTTGACGGTCTTATTACATTTTAGATCTCGATTGTACGATATTTTCTACATATATTGCTATTTTATTTTGGACACACATAGTAATAGCCTCTTATAATTTTGTACGTCTATTTTATTATTTTGGATCATACGTTATAATTCATCTGAACATAGATAAACAACTTATAGTATTAAATATTTGTTATATTCCGGAGACGTATCTCCATAATATTCACGGAGATGCATCCCTGGTCCAATTCAAATGAAAATGGCTTCTAAGTGGGTTGTATGGAATATTTTAAATTGTTCTGGAAATGATCTCGAGAATAGTTTAACGTTTATTCAAAAATAAATACGTCTAGAGATACATCTCCAAAAACTAGAGACATTTAAATAATTTTGCGTGATGTTTAAGAAGTATCTATGATGCATTAAGAAACTTTTTTTATCTAATTGTAGTAAGTTTTTCGTAAAATGCAGATTACAATGATTTTAAAAAATCTTTCTCGGAAAAAACAATTTTAAAACTATAAGGAAAAGTCTTAAATGAAAAAGAGTAAACATAGTGTTAATATAAATGGTGGTATACGTTATTGAAAAATGCTATTCCTACACCATTTCCTACACCCAATACTTACACCGTATGCACTATTCACCGTATTTATACGGTGAACAGTGTTTTTTTTTTATTAAAATAATATATTTTTTAAAAATATTAATTTTTTTTTTAAAAAAGTTTTATTTTTAAAATTTATTTTATAACACAAATATAAGATTGCGCATTAACCAACTTCACAGTTGCATTAACCACAAAAATCTACATTATTAACCAATTATTTTACCTATAATTTATTAACCACTTTCACTACTTCATTAACCAATAAAATACACACTATTAACCATGTTCTGGGGAATTTGTTCAAGTATTTGTGAACAGTAATTGAGGTGTAGGGTGTAAAGATGGGTGTCAACATAGCAATCCTGATACGTTATTATATTATTTTGGGTATTTTGTAAGTTACGATAATATAGTTTGAGTGTTTCAAATTTCCAAAAAATGAAGTTTTAGTTTCTAAATATTTATAAAAAAAAATTGAGTTTTTGAAAAGCTTATAGATTATGAAAATTTGAAATTAGATATTTTTGGTCGTAGAGTTTTGGATGATAATGCACTCATACAACAATATTGAATTCATGATCTTGAAGTGGAGCAGGTATGCCTAATCTTTATGAAAACAAAATGGCACAGTTCAAAAAAAGTTGGCACAAAACCACTACTATTCCACAGGTACAACTACTATAAAAAGAACTAACTCAAACACATTCAGAGAAATCAAAAAATGGAGGAAAAACAAAGGAAGAAACATATTAGAGAACCACCTTCAGTTCCTTTCATATGGGAAACAAAACCAGGCATTCCTATAAAAGATTGGAAACCAATGGTCTCATCAGTTTCTCAGTTACCAAAATCTCCACTCAAACAAATTGCATCAGTTCCTTTTGTTTGGGAGGAGAAGCCAGGAACACCACTCCCTAGTTTCTCACATGTTGATGCTCAACATGAAAGCATAACTAGCTTGGACTTTCAAGCGTTTAGTTTTGATGCAGATGAATGTTTTAAACTCTCTGCGGATATTATTCCGAGGCGACAAAGTTCGTTTTCGAAGAATGCTTGTGACTTGCGCTGTACTCCATCTTGTCCTGTCTCTCCAGCTTCATCGGAGACGGATGGTAGTTTAAGTAGTTATGCTACTGGTGTGTCGAGTTTAACTGGTTCGGCTTTTTTGGAATGTCTTTTTCCTTTGTTTCCACCAAAGTCTGGTTTTCTTGAGAAGAATGTCGGTTATACTGAAAAGGGAAGTTCAAGTTTGGTGGAACAAAGAGGTAAAGATTTTGAGGATGAAGATTATATGTGTGATGTGTCGAGCAAGCAACCGACACTTGGAGAGCTTATTATGATGAGCAGGAGAAGAAGCTGTAGAAGAAAAGCAACTCAAATGAACAAATGGGATCCTCCAAAGGTAATTTTTCACCCTTTCGTTTTTGTTTGTATTTACTCAAGGAATTACAATACCAAATTTAGCTATTTTGCATCAACAAAACATGCAGAAAATCACAAGAAAACAAGTTTTTGGGTGCTTCTCCATTCTAACCAGCAACAGTATGATTGAAGGATTGTTCAAGAGAAAGTACTACCCTCGGCTGAAACTAGTCTAAACAGAAAAATCAGAAGATCAAGAAACAAGACTGCTGTAGATTTAAAACATGTTTTGAGATTGCAGATTGTTGATTGTACTAGAATTTTGTGTTGTGGTAAAATGTGTGTATCATATTTTCTTTAAGATGGCTCAGATTCTGAAATTCCACAAAATCACACGGGTGGAAATGGAACATTTTCAAAAGAAAAAACTTGAACTAAGATTGTACATAAACTGTAAAAATACTTAACCTTTTCATATAAATAATTTATAACTTAAGACATGGGTTACCTACTAGTACTTAGTTACACCATGCAACCATATCACTGGTCACAATATCAGTCTATCCAAAAAGTTAAACAAGTGGAATAAACCATTGGAGAAGTTCTTCTACAATAAGTCATTCTTTCTATTTGCTAAGGTTATATTTAAGGAAATATCAAAACACAAAAGTCTTTACTTTCACCCTTCATCAACTTGTTGTCTATATAACATGAATCACAGTAGGAAGACACCAGGAGTCAGAGGGAGCTCTTGGATATAGCATCTCCAAAACGAACAAACCATTGAGCATTAGAAGAATTGTTATCGCGCTGAGGTTGTAGTCCATCTAATTTTCGGTGGTGCTGTCCCTTATCAACCACAAAAGGAGCATAGTCAAAACCCTTCCCAGTAGCTGCAATGACTTTACTTGGAGGTGCAGGAAGAAGTGAAATAAGCACCCTGGTTACTTCATGCATGGTAGGCCTCTCAGACGGGTTCTTTTTTGTGCATAGCAAAGCAAGTTGAAAGGTCTTCTTGACGTGAGCCAAATCAACGCAGGTAACGGATACTTCAGGATCCACGGCTTCCATTACAGTGTTATTATCAGCCTTGGACAATATCTGAATTCACATCCAAATCGTTAATATTAGTTAATATATTCCATATAATAGATTGATGTATAAATGATGAACCGGAAAAAGATAAGTAACAGTTTCATGCACTTACCAATTGATGCAAATTGGAATCATTATCCACGGCCTTCTTCCCAGTGAGTAGCTCTAGCAGAACAATGCCAAAGCTATATACATCTGATTTCTCATTCAGCCGAGAAGTTCGTGCATATTCAGGATCAATATAGCCTATAGTTCCAAGAACATAAGTTGAGGCATGAGTTTTTGTTGCTGGGATGCATTTTGCAGTGCCAAAATCAGAAAGGCGAGCCTCAAAGTTTTCATCCAGCAAAATATTTGAAGACTTAATGTCCCTGTGAACAATTCGAGGGTTGCAGTCATGGTGAAGATAAGCAAGTCCTTCAGCAGCTCCAACAGCAATCCTCATCCGTGTTTCCCAGTCAAGTTTTACCTTCAGCGGACCTGTGTCACACACTACACAATTTAAGCACCAAAAAGCAGCATTGCTATTTCAAAGAGATATATATAAACAAATCTAAACTCCTAAAGAATAAAAGTTTTGTTGTAAGAACAACAAAATTACCATGTAGAAGATCCCACAGAGAGCCGTTTGCCATGTACTCGTAAAAAAGGAGATTTGCATAAGGAGTAAGGGCGTAGCCATGCAAGACAACAAGGTTTCTATGTCTAATGCTGCCAATTGTCATGAGTTCCGTTTCGAATTCCCTTAGATTGTGTGGATGCTGATTGTACAATCGCTTGACTGCAATCGGTCGGGAATTTTTCAACACACACTTGTATACAGTACTAGAGGCACCATAACCTATGATAAATTTCTCACTGAGATTTTCAGTGCTTCTCATTATATCATCCAAAGTGTGTATTGCCAAATCCATATGAAGAACCACAAGCTTGGGAGGCACTGAAGAGACATACAAAAACAAAATATTAAGAAAAAGGCTAGTTTGACAAATTATAATCCTAGTAGCATTCTATCTGTTATCAAACCTTGGTCGGACATGCTAGATGCTTTCAACAACTGCTTCGATTGGATGGATCTATAGATAGCAATAATTACCATAGCCAATAACACGATGATACCGAGAGTGAGACATGCAACTGCAACTCTAGAAAATATCTCTGAAAAGAAAAGTAACAAAATTGATTCATTTACTTTAAACTCATTCGCAATTAAAATAAACATCGCAAATGGGATTCACTTCACATACCTCTTGATTTTGGGAAATAAGGACGGCATATGGATCCTACCCAATTTCCACATAATAAAGGATTTCCAAAGAAGCTGCAAAATGTCACATTAAAAGTCATCAGCATATAGAAGTTCTAAACATTCACATGAAATTAAAAGATTTCTCTGCACTACCTGTCAGCCGAGAACCGCGTGAAGTTCTTAGAAGACGGAACTACTCCGGTAAAGTTGTTATAAGAAAAGTTCCTAAAACGTAAAGACAAAAAAAATTAAGAAGGATTTACTTGAAGAAGCTCGAAACATTACAAAATGAATACTCACATGGAAGAAAGAGTGAAACAATTGGTGAGCTGTTCCGGAATCTTCCCATGCAGGTGATTGTTGTTCAAAATCCTACCATACAGTTAAAGTAGTGGCGTATCAATGACAAGCGAGAGATAAACAAAAAATCTCAAACTCAACACTACATAACTAAACATACAGAGAGGCAAGGTTCTGCAGCTGTCCAATTTCTGGAGGAATGCTACCCGACAGATTGTTGAAGGACATATCACTAGAGGAAGAATAGAACATTATGAACCAATTAAAACATCTTGGATAGAAAACTTAACTGAAGTTTGACTTTCAATCCCTAAGTTAACTACAAAACTTACATAATCTGTATGCTTCTGAGATTCCCAAATTCAGCAGACAAGGGACCATCAAGATGGTTCCTGCTCAAGTTCCTGTAATACATAACATTTAATATCAATCAAATTCAGTAACAAGAGATAGGGAAAAAAAGATGACACGGGTTATTAGAACTTTGATCTTACAGGGTCAAAAGATGCTCTAGAGAACCAACAGATGCTGGGACATGACCGGAAAAATTATTGCTAGATAGGTCCCTGATACATAATATAAAGTTGTATTTTGAATTAATATTCAGCTTACAATAAAAGTCATTAATCTAGACTCGTGTTTCCGTGAACTTACAATGTATCAAGATTTATGATACGGCCTAACTCAACTGGTATAATCCCTTTAAAGTTGTTCGCAGAGAGATTTCTGGAGATCAAACAAATATACTCATGTCACTAAACATGTAAGAAATTTGACATAAAACATACTGAAACAAAATTAATTTGCGTTTGTCGTACAAGTAAGTCAAACTCTCAAGGTTGCGAAAGCTCAATGGAATAGAACCGCTTAACTGATTACCATGCACATTACTGCAGAAGATAACCATATGAATTATCAATTTATGAGCCAAGGTAGTTAAAAACAAAAGTTACAACACATACTGCTATATTAAGAATCTTACAACTGATTTAATGCCGTGCAAGAGCTTATGTTATGTGGAATAGATCCATTTAGATGATTATTGGCAAGATTCCTGAAGAGGGTATAAGTAGCAATTTAGCACTAGAAAACTACACTTGGTACATGTTATTGAGAGCGTAGCCGAATGTCAAATAACTTACAATTCGAACAGATGTTCAAGCTTCCCAAACTCGTTGGGAATTTCACCCACCAGTTGATTATCATTCAATTGCCTAGAAATTCAAGCTTAGTAATTTCATGGTCAAAACAAAGATAATAAGAATATAAATGTAAATCAACTCACAGGTAGCTCAGTTTAGACATATTGCCTAGCTCGGGAGGTATCGATCCAGTAAGCATGTTTCCATGAAGATATCTACAAAACTAAAGAGCTTAGAAAAGAAAAAAATTACTATATAAAGTACTAACAACAGTGAAGTGACACGCTTACAGTTTTCCGGTGAAAGATAGATTTCCTAATATTGGAGGAATTGGTCCCACTAACAGATTCTCGCTCAAATCCCTACAACAATGCCATGATTCAGAAAATGCATTAACAAAATGAAATGAAGAAATATCAAGTCAAAAATGAGCAACAACAAAATTCCTAAAAATGAAATGTTCAGTAAAACTTACAAAATTGCAAGAGCTTGCATCAAACCAATCACCTCTGGTATCTTCCCGGTTAACCTATTTCCTTGAAGCGACCTAGGCAAAAATCACAACAATAACTGACCGTAAACTTCTCCATTCAATATATCCATTCAATATATACTAAACAAACAATAAAGTCGGACTCGTAAGTCATTATCATTGCACTAGAAAAAAACTCTATTAGACAAAGCAAATGGTACACGGTTACATTAATTAGTAATATTAAACTAACTCTATTAGTCATGGTACTTACAAAGTAGCTACTTGAAGAAATCCAATGTTATACGGAATCTCCCCGGTAATCTGGTTATACGATATGTCACTGAAATTCAACGAGAAGAAAGACTAAGAACCGAGATTTAAAAAATCTGAAGAAAAACAGTATTGCTCACAAAGAAAGAAAAAAGAAAAACTTGACATACAAGATTTCAAAACTTGTGCAGTTGCCAATGCTCTCTGGTATAGTACCAGTCAAATTATTGCCTCTGACATCACTGAAAATTCAGGATAAAACATATCAGTATAACTGATAAAAACGTAAGTCCGGAAACAAACAGTATCGAGTAGAAGAGAGGTCTCAATATGGCTGGGCATGATTACTCACAAATACCATAAACCAGTTAATTGACAAATGTCGGGAGACAAAATTCCAGTCAACATGTTCCCTCGCAACCCACTGCATCATTATACAAAATCACATTACAAAAAAAGTCTTTTTAAAACAACAGAAATAACAAGAAACATTCGTGTCGAAACTTAATTTAAATAGAGTAGCATAGATAAACCTACAGGTATTGCAATACTTCATTCCAATAGAGAAGCCTCGGTATCTCTCCAATGAACTTATTTCTAGCGAGATCACTGAAAACATAACAAAAGAGTGATCAAATGTAATTTCTTAACAACATTATATGAATGTAGCTGAGTATTCATATAATGACAAAATATTAACTTACATAGTCTTGAGGTTTGGAATTTGCGATAAAGTCGAAGGAATAGGGCCTGTCAACTGATTGTTCTTTAAATTCCTACAATAACACACCACCGCGTAACTCAAATTTGTTCGAATTCAAATAAATAAATAAATCAGTGCAACAAAGTGATCTTCTATTATGAATTCAGCCTTACAAAAACTCAAGTAGCTTCAGCTTCGATATGGAGAAAGGTATATCACCATAAAGCTGATTATCAGATAAATCCCTTCAAATTAACAAAGAAAACTAAATTTATTAGCACTTGTGTCACATTAATCAATAATAATTGGTAATAACAACTTATGACAAGAAATAGTCTTACAGATGAACAAGTTCGCCGCAGTTCCCGATTTCATCGGGGATTTGACCAGTAAGCTTATTTCCTTGCAGGTCTCTGCCATTACCAAAAAACACATAGTTATTAACCAAAACACAAATCAACAATAACAAAAACATGCGCATCCGTAAATAAAACCTACGAAACACCAACATAAGGCAACATACATGGATTGCAAGTTTCTTAAATCTCCAATTGCTGGCGATATTTCACCACCAAGATTCAAGCTTGACAAATTCCTATAGAAACAAGACAAAAACATTAGACTCAACACTATTGAGAGAATAAGACAAAACTTGGGAATAGTCTGAAGGACAAAAGACTCACAGAGAAACCACTGTTAAAGTAAGAGTGACATTATCACAAAAAACTCCACGCCATGAACAAAAGTCGTCATTATGCACATCATCCCAGTCAAGAAGAACGTCAGCAATGTTGTTGAACGAAGACTTCATTGCCATTAATGCTTGTCCTAATGCATTTACCAAATATTCATAATTCAAACACTGCATAACCTTAGTCACATCCTATTCATCTATCTAAATCTTAAACCATAGGAACATGTATTATTTATGATAGCAATAATAATATGTGAGAAAAATAAAGTATAAGGAATATTAATGCATTATATATTTATAAATCACTGATATGATACTGACACTATAGTCAAAAATAAATTATTGGGAAAAGTTGAAAATTTTATGAGAAGTATATTTTATACATTGGTCAAAAAAATAGTAGTACTCGTATTGTTTGGCAGCATGTGAAAAGAACAAAGATATTGATTAGACATGAATTTAAAATGAAACAAAACACTCTAAACATTCTGAATTTATTTTCATTTCATAAAAAAACCTTAGTTTTTACATTAAAAATTTGTGGATAATATTTGCAAAAATAAAATTAGTTTATGTGTTACTAATTGATTAAATTATAGAGTATAGCAATTAATAGTGTAATTATTGCAACAACATAGGAACACAGCACTGCTTCAACCTCAAAGAACACAACCATTGAAGCCACTACATTCGTCTTAATAGCATGTTTTGAAAATTGTTCAACTACTTGAAAGCGGCAATCATAATCAATATTTTAATATGATTAATAAATCTAGCTCTCTCCTCCATGAAAAATAAATCTTAAATAAATAAATAAGAGAAAAGTCCAACATTAATGGATAAAAATTCTAAAGCAAATAACCTCTTTCTATAGTTATTTCTACTCACGGGAAAAAACACTTGTTATTCCATCACACGATTAAAAAAATATGCAAACATGTTTCACCAAATTCAAGCAACAATTATAGAGAAAAATATATTGACAATTTTTTTTGCCTAATATTGAACTTTATTTATGCATGATAAAACCAAAAAAATGTATATATTTAAAACAAAAAAAAAAAAACATCACTGTTTCAAAGCTTTTGAAGGAAAGTGAACAAAAAGGATAATAGTTAAGTTAACACTGTTTCAATCATTTGAGAAGAAAAAAACCAACAGGGTAATGTTTTTTTAGTAACAAAGAAAACAAAAACACACTATAACACAAACCTTCTTCAGTGAGTGAAAATGCAAATGGAGAAAGAACCAACATCATGGGAAACAACAATGTGGTATAAAACATCATAGACCTCAACTTGTGTTGGGAAGCACCATAGAGCAAAAGCACGAACCCTTTTTCTTCTACCATTGTTACTAACAAGACAAAGCCTCAAGACCAAGTATGAGAGAAGTTAATGAGAGAAAAAAATGTAGCTGTTGCAAAGGTTGTTACAGAGAGAGAGAACAGGCGTTTGGCGTGAAGTGTAAGGTAAACACAGAAGAGAGAGTTTTATGAAGAGAGAGAAAGAGAAAATGGAAACGGCGGTGAAGCGACGTTAGATGAGTGTCACTGTTTATACTGGATGTAGCCGCCGTCATTTGTATCGCCGTTTCCCAGTGTTATTTGACAGCTATCGTTTCCATGTCTTTTCTCACGCTCCATTGCTCGCGTGATTTGAATATCCTTTTTCCCTATAGCTATAGGCTATATAGCCAACGACTCTGATTCGTTTCATGCTTTTATATACGAGTAGCACAGTTTCTGATTACGCGCTCTCCGAGAGTAGGGTGATTAGTCCTTGTTGTGCAATCGAGGATCTAGGAGCGCGTGTCTTGTGACGCGCGTTAGATAAGGATTAGGGAGTGGATTGTAGGAGAGAGAGAGAGTAGAAAATGCTAATAAATGTTCATTTAGGAGGAGTATTTAAGGAATCTAAAATAGTGTAAATACTTTTTGCATGAAAAATTATTATGTATTTTTTTATAGTACTTTTGAATTTTATTTCAGTGATTTTTCAACATGATGAAATGAACATATTTGAATGAACAAACTATTTTTTTTCACACTTGAGATTTTTTAGAATTTCTTTTTGAAAATGTAATTTTTTTGGGTTAATGTGTCATTTCGACTATTCTTTATAAAAAATTGCATAGCCATCGAAATGTCGAAAGAGTGTATATTAACAAAAATTTATACTTTATTTTATTTTATGTTTTTAATTGAGTTAGATTACACGGGGATTATAATAATGCAATTGTATAGAGAAAAGAGATAATAAAACTCCAATTTAAAAAGAGAGAAACAATTAAGAATTCTCTCAATCCCTAATTTCTCTTTTCTTTTTTTATTCATCTTTTTTTTTTCTTAAATAATTGTTATATAAGGAAATCATCTTGCAACTAATATGTGATTGATTCACTTGAGTGAATAGTGGAGAACAAGAGGTGAAATCGATCGGTGCGATTAATTATTCTTGTTCATTGAGATCGATTCAGAATTTTTTATAGATTTTGTGTAATTCTGACATCTGGTATCCAAAACACTAACTGTGTGATTCTTGTGAAGTATAGCGCAACGAATCATCTAATGAGCATTTTCTGACAAGTCTCTCAGTTTTAAAGAATCAAAATTACGAGAATTTGTGCAATCAGATAAAGATTGTTTTTTGCTATTAAGATCTTACGAAGGAGGGAGTGACACCGCTTGCAAAAAATGCGACGGGTGAAGAAAAAGCTGCACACGAAGAATTGAAGAAGAAATATTATAAAGCTCTCTTTGTGATTCATTAATGCGTTGATATATATAATTTTTAAAAATGTCAGTGATATAGAATCAACGAAAGAAGCATGAGAAATCTTTGAGAAATCGTTTGGAGACACTGGAAAGGTGAAAGAGGTGAGGTTACAAACTCACAAAAGAACGTATGACTTGCTTCAGATGGAAGAAAGTGAAAGCATGTCTTATTTCTTCGCTAGGATTACGAAACTAGTGAATCAAATTAAGATATATGGAAAAACGTTGACATCAATATCAGTTGTTGTAAAGATCTCGATGTCATTGGCTCCAAAATTTGATCACATGGTAGTAGCCATAGAAGAGTCAAAAAATTTGTCAACAATGGAAAAGGAATAGCTTCAAGGAACGCTCGAATCTCATGAACAAAGCATGGCTGAAATAACTGCAAGCAAGTTGAAGAGTGATGTGCATTTGCAGACGCAATCAGTGAGAGAAAATAAAGGTAAAGAAAAATGGTTCGACAACAAAGGTAGATAAGGCTACAACAGTTTGATTGGTAGAGGAAACTAACAAGAAGGAAATTCGTCGAATCAGAGAAGACCATCATACCAAAGTAACCACAAAGGTGGTGATGTTGGTAAGGAAGAGGTGGTGGAAGAAATATTGACAAAAGTCACATTTAGTATTTCAACTGTCAGATGTATGGTCATTATTCTTGTGATTGTTCTAAAAAAATAAAAGAGTCAAGAAAATGATACAAAGTTTGTAAAACATGAGTGAAAAAAAGATGTTGTTGATGGTCACAATAAAAAATGAAGAAATCTTCAAGGACCAATGGTACTTGAATTCAGGATGCTCATCACATATGACTGGTAGGAAATATGTGTTAACTGGTAGGAAATATTTGCAAATGACAATACTCTAGCAGCTGAAGGTATTAGTGATTTATGATTATGAGGAAAGATGACAAAAGATCAGTAATTTCCAATGTCTTGTATATACCAGACATGAAAAGTAATTTGCTTAGCATATGACAGTTGGTCGAAAATAATTACAAAGTATTTATCAAAGACAAGATGATGAGAGTTCTCTATTTAACTAGAAGGTTAATCTTAAAGGCTCCTGTGTCACAAAACATAAACTTCAAGGTTGAACTTAATGTGATATAGCACAACTGTTTTGCAATTATAGCTAGCAGGGATGAATTGATATGGCATTATCAACTATGTCATCTCAACTTCAAATACATAAGAGATCTGAATAGGAGAAACATGGTTTCAAGATTACCAGAAATCGAAATTCCAAATGAAGTATGTGAAGAATGTGTGCAGGTAAAATAATACATTAATAGCTTCAGCAAGAATGTAGGAAGTAAGTCAAAGGTAATTTTTGAAGTCATATATTTTAATGTGTGTGGTCCTATCCAGGTAGATTCGATTGGAGGTAACAGATACTTTGTTACATTCATATATGATTTCAGTCAAAAAAATTGGACTTACTTGATCAAAAACAAAAGTGAAGTGATCAGAGTATTTGTAAAGTTTAAATCTATGGTCGAAAGACAAAATGGTCGAAAACTCAAGATTTTGTGGACTGATGGTGGTGGAGAATATGTGTCAAAATACTTTGACACATTATGTGAGAAAGAAGGATTGTGCATGAGGTGGTCCCACCCTACACTCCACAGCAGAATGGAATTGCAAAAAGGAAGAGCAGAACCATCATGAATATGGTTAGAAGTATAATGAAAGGCAAGCATTTACTCGAAGAGTTATGGGGAGAAGTTGTGTTGACTACAACATACATACTTAATAGATGTCTGACGAAGAAGCTAGAAGAAATCACGCCAGAAGAATGTTGGTATGGTGTTAAGCCTAGCTTGTGTCATACTAAGGTATTTGGATCTATAACACATAGACATGTGCATGATCAGTTGAGAAGAAAATTTGATGACAAGTGAAGTCAAATAATCCAAATAGAATATCATTCGATTGGAGGATATAAGAGTTATTCAACGCAGTGAACAAACAAGTAGTGATCAAGAGGAACCTACTCATAAATGAGCTTAAGGAATGAGATTGGACTAAAAAATGTCAAGAAGGATTCAGTGAGAATCCTATGTGAAGAACCAGTAAGTGAAGTCGAAAGAGAAGTTCGACAAGAAGAAGTCAGGGGTCAAGCATGCACAGGAAGGCCTCGAAGAACAAGACACATGCCTGCAAGGTTGCAAGAATGCGCGATTACATCAGATGATATGTAATGTTTAACTTTATGGTCGAAAGACAAAGTGGTTAAAAACTCAAGATTTTGAGGACTGGTGGTGGTGGAGGATATGTGTCGAAAGACTTTGACACATTATTATATGAGAAAGAAGGATTTTGCATGAGGTGATGCCACCCTACACTCCAAAATAGAATGCAATTGCAGAAAGGAAGAGTAGAACCATCATGAATATGGTTAGAAGTATGATGAAAGGCGAGCATTTACCCAAAGAGTTATGGGGAGAAGATGCGTCGACTGAAGCATACATACTTAATAGATGTCCAACGAAGAAACTAGAAGGAATCACGCCACAAGAATGTTGGTATGGTGTCAAGCCTATCTTAAGTCATACGAATGTATTTAGACCTATAACACATATACATGTGTCTGATCAGTTGAGAAGAAAATTTTATGACAAGTCAAGTCAAATGATCCGAATAGAATATCATTCAATTGGAGGATATAAGTTATTCGACCCAGTGAACAAGCAAGTAGTGATCAGTAGGGACCTGCTCATAAATGAGCTTAAGGAATGGATTTGGACTGAAAAATGTCAAGAAGGATTTAGTGAGAATCCTACGTGAAGAACCAACAAGTGAAGTTGAAAGAGAAGTTTGGCAAGAAGAAGTCAGGGGTCAAGCAAGCACAAGTAGGCCTCAAAGAACAAGACACGTGTCTGTAAGGTTGCAAGAACGCGTGATTACATCATATGGTATGGTCGATGATAAATGTGAGTTGGTAAATTATGCTTTCTATGCAGATGTTGAACAAGTCAATGCAAGTGAGGCATTGAAGGATTCAAAGTGGATGAAAGTGATGAATGGGGAACTCGAGTCCATCAAAGTCAACAATGCTTGGTCACTTGTCAAATTGACTAAAGGCACGAGGAAAATCAATGTGAAGTGGGTATACAAGGTGAAGTTAAATCCTAAAGGAAAAGTAACTCGCCTTAAGGCAAGACTTGTGGGGAAATATTTTCTTTAAAAAGAATGAATCAATTCCAGCGAGGTTTTTGCATTTGTTGCCAGGATCAAAATAATTAGGTTGTTTGTTGGTCTAGCAAACACGAACAACTGGAATAAGTGTCAAATGGATGTGAAATATGCATTCCTGAATGGGCCCTTAGATGAAGAAGTTTATGTTGCACAACCAGTTAGGTTTGTGAAACAAGGTGAAGAAAGCAAGATATATGTGATGCATAAAGTCATGTATGGACTTAAGCGAGCTCCAAGAGCTTGGAATAAGAAGATAGATAACTCTCTAAGGGAGAAGGAATTTGTGAAGTGCACAGCTGAAAATGGAGTACACGAAAAAGAAGCAAAAGTGAATTACTTATATTGTGTTTCTATGTCGATGACTTGTTAATAATA